AAAGTACATATATACATCTAAAGTACATATATACATCTAAAGTATATTTATACATTATTGCATAGGGAAGCGGTTAGTCTTAGTCATTAAACAGATCCAGCATTTGCTGATTACTTTAGAAAGATTATTGAGCAATCAGCTAAAATAATCATGTGATCAGGTGGAAACAAAGAACTCAAGTTGTTTTTTTATTTGTATTCTGTTAAATATATATATTTCTATTTGTTGTTTTTGTACAGTTTGTAGGGGTGGAAGGCTTAATAACTGGAATCATGGACATGTTGCCCCCAAAATCTGCCCTGGGCTCTTTGCGACGGGAGGTGGTTGCTGCCATCTGCTGCATCATCTGCTTCTTTATTGACATGTCCATGGTCACTGAGGTACAGTGAGGCTCTTAGAAGTCGTTTGGTTGTGTTCTTCAAAAGTTTGACTTCAAGCATTTATTTGTAGAATGTGACCCTTATGGATTGACTGAAAGTTAAAGAGGCTTTGGTTCRTTAACACAGCAAAAAATCATTGTCAAAAATAACAGACACCTTGTGAAGCAGTAAGSTGTACATGTGTATGTTGATGCTGACTGCTGGTGTGCTTTCTGCCAGGGAGGGATGTATGTGTTCCAGCTGTTTGACTACTACTCTGCCAGTGGCATCACTCTGTTATGGCAGGCCTTCTGGGAGTGCGTCGTCGTTGCCTGGGTTTATGGTGAGCTAGTGTCTTGCAGTTGCAGCAAAGTCAATATGAAAAAATTACAACTTCCTTTTACCCCACCTGCCAGGCGCAGACCGTTTCATGGACGACGTRGCCCGTATGATCGGCTACCAGCCCCTCCCCTACATGAAGTGGTGCTGGTCCTACGTCACGCCTTTTGTCTGCGTGGTATGTGCGCCCCTCTTGCCTTATGACCACTGAGCTCTGCCTACGAGTGGCGAACTGACGATGCTCTCCTGTGTGCATTTAGGCAGTGTTTCTGTTCCACGTGGTGAACTACAAGCCCCTGACCTACAACACAGTGTATACCTACCCTGCGTGGGGCGAAGCACTCGGGTGGGCCCTGGCTCTTTCCTCCATGCTCTGCATTCCTGTAACTGTTCTTTACAAACTACTCCGTTGCAAAGGATCTCTCCGAGAGGTCAGTCGACTCAGTTTAGTTGTCACTATTGACATGATGCATTTTCTTCTGTACGTTGTTTCGGCACGGATCTCGTTCTGCAATTTTGTGCTGTTTCAACAATTCATTTATCAAGACTTTCAAATTAATTCCAGCTATGATTTTATGATTTTTGGTATTTCACCCATTTAGACTTATTGAGATGTTTAGCCTTTTTGGCCATTTTTGTCCTCATTGAAAATGAATGGATCTGTCTTCAAAATCCTGAAAATCCTTCAAAATTTATTAAACCTTTCCTGCACTTTTCTGCTTTTGTTCTAGTTCTGCTTAGTTTTAGCTCTTTTCTGCTCTTTTCAGCTATTCTGCTAATTTACTGTAAATGTTGTTGTGCTTCTATCAGCTTCTCTTTGCTATTGTTAGTTTAGTTTTAGTTTTGAGTTTAGTAGTTTATTCATTTAGATTAAAAACAAAAATTTCAATACAACAAAAAAGAACACAAATCTCATAAAATGAAAGGAAGCAGAAGAAGAAAAAGAATCTTATATCTGCCACTATATACAGTATACTGTATATA